TTCAACCTTTTCAGCCCTTTGTGGTATAACTAATATATTTGAGCTGAACCTGTCACCGTGTGAAATGTGTGAAAAAGATATTTTTTCAGAACTTCTCTCATTTTAACTTTAATTATTTTATCTTTATATAAGAAAACAATCACAAGGTGTAACTCAGTACCTTTTGAAACAAACATACACAACATCAGACATGTTTGCATCCAATCAAAGTGGTGACAACACATCAACTGATGACTTTGAATTGAGCAAAGGTGTGAATGTGAGAATGATCGGTTGCTGTCTCTTTGTGTTAGTGTCCAATGTGCACTGTGTCTCACTCAGCAGGACAGGCTCCAGTCCCCTCACAACCCTGACTGGAGGAAAATTATGGCGGAACGGCTGGAAGTCCAGCCCACAGTGTATATGATGGACTAACCTTGTGTGGCCATCTGCTCCTCTGTAACACTCATCTGAGAGTCCAGGTGACTAATCTCTTCTTTCAGCTGCTCTATCTTCTTCTGGAGATCTTTACGCCTTGCAGCCTCACTCTGGCCCTCAGCCTGACAAGACTGCACACCAGTAAACACAAACATAGCTTTTACAGAAACTCCACTTTGTGAAGTGCAATCACTAACAATTAAACTAAATTATAACTGCTGGGGAAAAGAAATAAATTGCAGCCTACCTCTTTGTCTTGAAGCGATTTATACCTAATAACAATGTCAAGGATAACAGAGCAAATAAATAACAAAGAAAGGTAACATTCAGTTCCCGGAGAAATTTAAAGTCTGTTGGAAAGAAGCTGGAAGCTTTGCAAATCAAGTCAAGACCAAAAAGGATACCACTGAAGATTGCCACGCATGATCCTCACATTCCTAAAAAGACAAATCAGTCAGAGGTTGCAGTTTATTTTAGAAAACAGGCCATTCATACAAATGTTTTTCTTTTGTAATGAACCAGAGTCCTGAGTAAATGTTTGAGGACAGGAAATGAGCCGTGCTCTCGTTATAATTTAGTGATCAAAAGGTTTAAAAACAAAACAAAAAGCAAGCGAGAACAAAGTCTCACCTTTGCTGGAAAACATGCTGGATGACATATTTCCATATCGACTTCCCCGTCCCAACACAGAGTCTGGAAAACAATCAACATTAGTTCAAGGCTAAAAAGTTCGGTAATAACATTGATGACAGGTCATACAAGTGTAGATACCTACGTTTTAAAATAGCTGTCATTAGGCAGCCTATCCGGGGACAGCCCAAACTCCTCTGTCGCCCAACGTTTCAAGTCCTGAACAAGATTTCTGTCTGCCATCCTGACAAATAACAGCTGGTAACGAGCTAAAGCTAAAGCTAGAAACAACAACAGGAGACTATTAGCATCAGCCAGCGTAGTTAGCTTAATGAGTGCACGTAATTCACAGATGTCCCTCCAACTTACCGTGCTCCCACGAAAAATGCCTCTTTAATTCAATAAAAACAGTTTACGGCGCTAAAACGGGAATATTGTCAAACCTAAACCTACTCAAACTTTCAAGTTCCCGCCTGTCAACAGCATTTCCGATCAACGACCACAGAGGAAGAGGAAAAGAAGAAGTACCGCCACCTGCTGGATCGGAGAGCAATTACAACTACAGCCATTTGCTGTCATCAGCACAGACTGTGCCTTAGCTTTGATTTTACACAAACATCTCACATAATGAAAATCATGTAATGATCCAGAAGCCAATATTCTTTTTTTTTAATTTTTAAACGTGGAGATAATTTAAAAGATGTTGTTTGTCATGTTATTTATTGCACTGTTCAACCCCAAAATCTAATCTGCTACTCACATGACATCT